ATATCTAAAAGAATCTGAGTCATTTATTCATTATTTTCTGGTTAGAATCAAGTCTGATTAAAACCACCAAACTGAATACTTTGGTTTTAATATTTGAAGCTTATGGTCTCTTGAAGGCTGAAGATAATAGAGGGAAAATTTTATATATTTTCAAAGAACGATCATAATTTTTTGGTTTTTTAAAATATTCTAAATCTGCCTTTCTAAAGGGTCGAATCTGCAGCTGGTAGGCTGCTGCACCGCTTGCTGCTAGTATCATGGTATAAAAAAGGTTTCTAAAAGTTGAAGTTTTTAAAGCAATAGTTTTTCCATCACTCCAATCTTGGAGTTTAAAGTCTCTTAAATGCAAAGCCAGAGGAAGTGTGAGAAAGAAGTATGCTGTTGCAGTGACAGAACATAGTCTACCATCAAACCTCCAAGCCTCTTTCTGATCACTGCTGTTAAGTAGGCTTAAAAAATAATTTTTGCTTTAAAGAGAGTGAGGGGCCGAGGTAAGAAGCATGAGGAGTCTCAGGGATTAATTCAAAAATTTGCTTTTTATTTTTAACCAAAAAAAAAAACAACACAAAAAATACATGGGTTCAAGTCAAAAGAGGTCAATCAAAAAGACAAAATTTAACTCAAGCAAAATGTGCCCAAAGACCAATAACACAACAGGGGTAATTAAAACTAATCAAGCAATCACAAATTAAAAAACACAGCAGTACAGTTAGGTTTGGCAATAAACCTATCTGCATCTTAGAAAAATAAAAATACACTAAACGCAAAACAAATCCTAACTGAAAATACAAAAAAAGAAGTGACAGAAATAAGTAAAAAAAAATCAAATTACCCCTTAAAGTTGAAGGTGCATGTATACTACCAACTTTTCAGTTGTGGCCATGTGTTTGGCCGTCACAAAGAGAATAAATTTTGCTTTTTGGAATTACGTTCAGAAACAAACTGCAACCAAACAATGAAATCATTTTCTACCCATTTGGTTAAAATTTTCATATCAATGGTGAGCTAATCTAAACATGCTGTATTTTTAACTGACAGTCATGTTGTCACACTGTGAGATAAAAATACATTGAAATGTGTGGTTTTAATTTAAAAAGCATGACAAAGTTTAACTTTTAAAAGTAACTGTATTTATTTAAAATGCAATTTCACATACACCTATGTCTAAAGAATCTTTTCATTCTTTTAAAAAAAGCTTGTTTGGTTGTTATAGTTCAACATATTCTAATTATCAGTTCATATGAAATCATACGAAAAGTTATGCACAGTATTTCGTGGGTTTTTGACGTTTTTCCTCGAAAAAACACATCAGTGCGCATGCGCAGCCAGCCAGACGAAAACAGCTGATCAGCGGACGGACGTAAAACTGGGACGGACGAGCTTTCCACAGTGCAATAATTACTTCATGATGTCTCTCACTAGGTTGCTTGCTGTTTTGTATGTTAGGGTTAGGGTTAATTGTATGTTATTGAATGGTGCGTAAGATACGCAAGCGCACTGATATCTTGTCTCGAGGCAAGACGTAAAAATACGATGAAATACGACGAAAAAAACGTCAAAAACCCACAAAATACTGTGCATCACTTTTCGTACGATTTCATATGAACTGATAATGAGAATACAGTTTCATTTTCTATTAAAGTAATCTAGATATTCAAAAAATGGATGGCTAGACACCACTGCAACAAAAGGATCATTTTTATTTCTCTATTACTGGTTTAGATAATGATGATTTACTCATTGTTATCATTGTAAGATAGATAAACAGCGATTCTGAAAGAAAAACATTTGAAATCAACAACAATAAGGTATCAGTAAGAGATTGATGCTATTCTTTGGGACCATTTTCTTTTAGCTGTTTGATCTAAAACACCCAGTTATTGCTTTCAGACCCACTGCTGTGATTTGCGGTCAAATTCTAATATTCTGCACTTAATCTAAGAAAAAATGCAAGCAAGTTTTTCTAATGCTTCCGATTATCATATGCTTTAACAAAAATAATCAGGCAGAAAAAAACACTCAAACATGTCTAAAAAGATCAGAAGTTTGATGATATATCAAACTTAAATTGAGAAAGTACGAGTATTGGTATCTCTTCAAGTAATCTCTCTGAGGTTGAGCTGTAGATGAAACATTTGCCTGCTGCTTTGCCTGAACCAAAGCATATTATTTACTTCAGTTATACTGTATGTTGTGTGAACTCCAAAGCACATCACTTTACTGAATAAATCATCTCCTCTTTTTCCTTCATTGCTTCAAGGCTCTCCCACACCTCATAGTCAATTATTTAAGTCAAATGCAGTAAGACAAGTCTGTCGGGCAACTCAAGATAAGGAGAAAGTTACAGTCTATCCTTCATTCCTGCAGTTTTAGGTTTCAGGGCATAACAACTATGATTTGATCTATAGTCTGTTCAAAAGGTATTTTAATTTATTCTCAAGGGTTTAAAAATGCACAACAGATTCTACAGCATCATTATTTATTGAACTAAGCTGAAGCCAGAATAGAAAAATGTGCAACAGTTTCTGTCTCAACATTTTTGGTTTGCAAAGCTTCATCTAAAGGAACAATAAGACTTCTGGAATAATAGTTTTAGCAGGTAAAACCAAAGTAAAGTCTGTGCTTGAATCATCATACCAAGTCTGAAGCATTTTGGTTTAGAAATATTTATCTCTGCTTGTTTGGCATGTTGGTCATAAACTTCTATAGAAGTCCTCTTTGTTGTCATCTGTGTTAGAGCTGATGCCAAAGTTTAGAACTGAAACTGATTGTAAGGTGATGGACGGAAAACCACTGAGCTGAAATATGGACCTGCAAACCTTAATTACCTGAAGCAATAATGAAAGCAATATACCTGTTTTTCTTTCTTCTCAAGTGCGTTGACCTTTGTTCTACTTTCATTTACATTTCTTCAGTGGCTTTATTGAGTTCACACAATAGGCTGCTGTCATGATTAAGTTTAGCATGAGAAAATAAAATGCAAGCTATATTTTACATAAAGACCACATAATTTTTTAGACTGTAGTCATTGATGAAAATCTGGTTCTTGGTTTTAGGTCAGGTCATTCATTCCTGCTGCCACCAGACTCTATAATAATGCACTATAACCAAAATAACTCCTGTAAAAACCACTGTTCAGCTATATTATAGTTTTTTATTTATTGACTGTGCAATATTCTGTGCAATATGCTGAATGTGCAATATATGTGAATAGAATAGTCATACCACTACCTCACCGTTGCTCCTTACCTGCTACACTTTAACGTAAAAGTAAATCCACCTGTATATAAGCCAACCGGATTGTACATATTTTTATTTCTTATCTCTTATTTCTTTATTTCTTAATTTTATTTTGTTTTTCATTGTGTGCGATACAGATACACTTGCACCTTAATCCTTATTTACCTTGATATACTGTATATACCTGGATATACTGTATATATATATATTGTTTATTGTTAATGCACCTTTTTCCTCCTTGTTTGCACCTTCTTTGACTTCTATGCCAATATGTGACAAGTGAATTTCTCCGCTGTGAGATCAAAAAAGCTCATCTAATCTAATCTAATCTAATCTAATCTAATCTAATCTAAAGTATGGGCAGGTTTTTTATAATGAAATTTGCTGGCAGAGAATCTGAGAGTAACTGGCCTCTTGAAACTCTTACATTTTTTATAGTTTTACTGTTGCAATTGTTTAAAAAATGTCGTTTTTTCAGGATTCTGTAAGAAACAGAGGCTGGACCCAAATACGACCAAGACATGTCAGTGATATTGGAACACAGTTTATTAAGAAGCTTGTTTGGTTAGTGGAGCTGAGTTTGAGAGAAGCAGGCAGGCTGCAGGGGATAAGCAGGCAGATTGTGAAGCTTTACCAGTTCATGATCCAGACGGAGAGAGGAAGAAGGCAGTTTTTGTGGGGCTTTACTGGGTTTGTGATCCAGAGAGGAACGCTGGCAGTCCGAGTCAGACAGATTCAGAGATCCAGATGTCCAGAGGCGGAACAGAGAGGATATCCAGGCAGGCGGACAGAGTCAGAATTGGATCAGGCAGGCTTGGTATCAGGGACAGAAAGGGTCAGTTGACTGGCAGGCAGACAGATAACTTTGATGACATTGGATTAATCTTACCGGGATGAGATAATCTGGCACTGAGGACTGGTCTGATGGGGATTTTATAGTGATGGAAACAAGTGAAGCCCGTTAGATCTGATGCGGAATGGGTGGAGCAGAGCAGGTGTATGGCCCGAGTGATCAGCCCAACATCAGTGCCGAGATCATTAGTTTCCCTTCAGTCATATTGAGAAATTGAGAAATTATCAGATTGTTCCTTCACTATATCTGTGGTTGCTACAGTTGCAAATGTTTTTTTTGGTTCACTTCATGTTTCAAAAGAAGAATTATTTCCCTGTTTTTTATTTCTTTGTTTGCCCTGATCCCCCCGTGGTGTATTTGGTCTAAAACTGCCACTGTTTTCAAGCTTTATAATTTGATGCAATTCTTTACCAACACATACATTGAGGGGGGCTCCTGTGGCAAACGATGAGCAAGTCAATTGGGACAAGGCAAAATCAGGTCGTCTCTGTCTGCAGAAAGGAAACGGCAAAAGTGTGCTCGCCCTGAAAGGGAAATGCTATTAATATATAGCATATCTTTCAAAGTCACCAAGTTAGGGAAAAGTGGACTGTGTGTTTGCATTAGGCTGACATTGACACAGTTAAAGTGCCCTTTTATTTCCTTTAAGACAACTGTAGCTTTGGGAATCTGGTTGTTACTTTATCTCATGTCACGCTTAATAAATGGGGATTGAGGATGTTTCAGATGCAGGTAATTTTCTTGTGTACTTCTTCACTAGAAACCCAGTTCCACTCAAACTGCGGCTGCTATTAGGATTTATTTTACACATAAACTTCAAAGTGAAGGAACAGAAACTATAGAGGAGTCAATATAGGTTTAACAACCACATCCTTTTATTTCCTGTTTATGTGATTTTTTTTTCCAGAGCTCTGGCGGACATTCTGAGGCAGCAGGGACCCGTTTCAGCATCACAGTTTGAACATGAAGACATCGCAGCCATTAATGGTTCTCCCAAAGATGAGACCCCCATCAGGACCTCAAAGAATCACTACACTCCTGTTCATGCAAAGACATCCAACCATGGTAGGTGACTTTTCCCTGCATCTATACAGAATAATGACTCAAAAAGTAAGAAAAGTGTTACTGGAGGCCAAGTGACCAACTAATGGTGAGCTTTAATATGTGAATGTACTTTCACTCGTTGTTCTATAGCTGAAATCTCTCTCTGGGCTTGAATTTGCTGTATCTTCTTCTGCATATATGCATTTCCCTCTGTCGCTTTTATGGGATTTCATAATATTGTTTAGTTCTGCATATTATTCTGATAAGCTCTTTTATTATGGTAAACAGAAGCTTTGATTCCTGAGCTGGTTCATGATCTCCCACTTTTTTCACCCTTTCAATGGTTTCCAAGACTCATCGTCACTATTATGTTCATCAGCAGTTTTTTTTAGAATTCCCTTTATTGATACTTTCAAAACTAGGATATTTAAAAATCTTTATCCAGTGACATGACTTACCTTTATGGTTAAGTTTTTAAACTGAATCAAAGCTGTTAAACTGGAATTAAAACAATTATGATAATGTTATGATGTTGATGATGAAATCAAATTGGGGTAAACAAACATCCAATTTCAGAGTTGCAAAGTAGAAAAACAGTTTAAAGTGAACATCTCTTGTGCAAAATCCATAAGAAATAAAAAATGTGGAATCCAGAAAACTAAACAGGATATGTTGTGTAAATTATTTTAGTTAGACGTCCTACAGTATGCATTGTTATAACAATGCATTATTTCATTTGTATCCCTCAGGGCTTTTAAGGTTCCCTATTATACATAAGACAATAAAAAGAACAAACACAACAACTGAATTAGCTAAAACATTAAAGCCCCATAACACAGGGGAGCTATCGGGTCGTTCCAGTCCCAAGATTTAAGGAAATATGTCTGTCTGATGATGTGAAATTGTTGGTGTCTTCAGGCAATGACACTCAGCATGCACTGGAGCATCACTGAGCTCAGTCTAAAATGGTAGGGATGAAGATTAGTACCTCTAAAGGCATCTACATTGTATGAATACTGTGAGCCACGCAACCTTTCAGCCTTGATAGTCAAGCGTACCTATTCCTACGTTTGTTATGACAAAATGCTTTCATTTGCCACACTGCTGTGCCATCATTGGATGAGGTTGCCCTGTAGCTTTACACAAAGAAAGAAAGAAGAAAGTCTAGATTGGGGCCTTGCATCATTTTTTCTTCCACTGCACAACCATCATAGCCTGGCCAGCCAGATTGATACGACATATACGTGGTTTATGAGTCTGAGCTGGTACAACTCGATTTCAAAGGCAGGACTTAGAAGGTCAGCTTGATTAAGTTAAAATCATGCAGGTAAATGTAGATGTGGTGCAAAAAAACTCCAAGTTTTTGTTTTTGTAATTTTGTAGTCCTTGAAACCTTTAAGCTATCAAAGAAACTCTCAAGTGCACGATTACTGCTGGTTTTACATAAAAAGTGTGCTTTCTAGTACATCCTTAACCTTTAATGCAATATTGCTCCGTTGCGTTTGCCAGCTTGTTGTTATGCTAGCAGAAAGGTGCTGCTGCATTATTTGGAATTCTGACGCTGAGAGTCAAGCATTGTAAAGTCCTGCCTTCTGTCCTGCGATTGGTCCAGCTGCAGGTGTGTTAATTTTCAGAGGCTGGATCCTCCATGGACCCTGTCTACCTGGACTGGGTCCTTTGAGGTCCGTGAAAATAAGGATGGATTCCATCAGGTCCAGCCATTTCAAGCGTTCACCACCCATACGCTCTGTCGCTTAGCAACCATGACAGCTGACACAAAAAGCAAGCAAAGAATAGATACCAAACTTCTCACTATTGTTCTTTCTGCTAACATTTTCGAGGGGCTTCAGCAGCAGTACTATCATCGCGAATATCAGATTTGTTGTCCCCACACTGCAGAAATATTGGAATCTATGCTTAAATGTCTGCCAAACCCATTTAAACAGGGACAAACCTTTCAATGTGTGGTGGAGAGAGCAGCTGTGGGTCCTTGCTACTGTCTATTTTCTGCAGTTTTTCGTTCCCTGCTATCACCTGAAGAGCGCTGACAGTGAAACATTTCAAACTGCTCAGTATGAATATTCATTCCTAGTAAAAAGTATTTTCCTGCGGAGCTGTAAAGCAGTTCAAAAAATGCACCAACCTGTCTGTGCTGGGGCCTCTTCGAGTCTGCAAGGATTGTTGGTGAAGAAAGAGCTGAATCGAACAATCAAGCTTTAAATTAAGCTGTCTGTCTGCATTCACAATATTAATGATGGGCATGAGATGTGGACCTTGACTTAAGATAAGAAGATCCTGGATCAAAGCGACTGAAATCAGATTATGGTCAGTGTTTGCCTTGGAGGTTGATTTAGTGAGACAGTCATTAAGGCCATAGCTCAGTGGAGTAAGAGCTTCTCTAAATTTAAAAGATCGGTTGACAAAGTCTTGTCTTATAAGCAGGATGCCTCCACCGCTCCTCCCATTGGAGATTTACTGGACATATCCAAGTGGGAGACCTAGATACACAGCCTGAATACACTGCCTTTCTTTGCTTGATAATTTTCTAAAGTCCTCCTGCAAAAATAGAGTGTGGGAGATTTATGTTTTTATTTTTGGCTTTTAACTCGGCGTCAGATAAGAGTAAAACAAAGGGTCGGTGGACTAACCATCCCATATAGTCCAAACAAATGTGTGAGTGACTGGAAAAGAAGAATTTTAAAATGTGTAGGAAGGAACCTAAGCTTTAATATCAGCACCAATCCCACTGGTAGATATTAGCTGGCTACAAGAACTGGCCAATCTTTATCAGAACCAACAAAGTCCAGGTTCTTGTCCCAGTATTTCCAGAGCTCCAAAGACACAACATGATAGACTGATCGACCTCAAGTAAAACATAGTAATACAGTTAGAATATTACCACAAAATAATTTAATTATTTATTTTATTCTGGCTATAATTAATTTTTTTTCCAAAAAATACTGGGGTACAGGCTGAGCCCATGCCTCCTGATATAAGGTATAAGTAGCTTCATTGGTATAAGGCAAGGTGGGTCAATAGCAGAAAATGTAAAAAGTCTTTTTTAAAGCAGAAGGGTCAAGGAAAAAGGTTATGAGAAGACATGTTTTTTTATTTGACACCGAATTGTCCTACCATTGTTTAAAAAACAGCAGGACACTGAAGTGATGTGAAGACATGACTCATATCAACACATTTGACAACACTCCTATAAACAAACAGAAGACATATATATCTTTATCTTGTCTATTGAGGTTTTCTGGAACACCAATGGTTTGGTTGAGCTCTTATTAGTCTAAAAACTGCTAATTATTTTTTTTCTGAGAAAACCAGAATCATGACTTTACGGTTGTAGCTGCTAGTTTAATCCCTCCCGACCAGTAAATACCATCTGCTCTTGTTTTATACTGTTAAGCAGCTAGTCGTCTGGCCCGCCTATGCTTACCTTTGGTTTGCACTTCATATTAGCAAACCTTCACCTTATGTGTTCAGAAGAAAAGCAGCAACTTTCTGAGCTTCTTTAATTCATTAAATCAGCACCAACATTCAGAAGCCTGACTGATGTTCACCCTCATTTTCGCTTCTTTTTCATTTTGTTTCTTGGCTTAGATCTGAGAAAAGTAATGCCAAGAAGATCCCTTTTCCTAGCTCCGTCATGAAGCTACCAATATATGGCCAAATTTGCCAACTCCTCAGCAAGGAAGTTTATATTTTGCATATCTGATGTCATCCAGCTGCAGGAGATTCTGAATCCCTCCGATTGCTTTTTTTTTTTTTTTTTCCTTTGGCAGTCTGTCACACCAGTGCAGGGAGATATTAGCTGGAAGAGAAAAATGTGGGGATTTTAAGACTAATAGCTTTTATAGAAGAAGGTAAACACTTTATACCAGTTTGAGCCCGGATCAGCAGCAGCTTTGTACTTAACTGAAAACATCATAATTTAAAGAGCTATGTGTCATTTTTCTCAAAAGAACTGATCCCAGTGGGAAATGTGTCCCTAACTATGCAGTGATAGCCACACCAATCCAGGGACTGACTGCAGCTCTACTGTAAGCTGCCTTGGTCAAGGTCAATGACTTGTGTACCTGACATGGACCAACCATACCATGCATATTGCTTTAGGTTAATAGACTATATTAATTAGGCTATGTATGCTTCCAAGCTTTTTTGCAACTAGACTGCTGTCTATAACCCAATTCTGTTTTATCCTTCAGCCTGCCTGTGGTACAGTGGTTTGTTTCCATTCGTTGTGGGATGTTGGGGTTTAAATTGCATCCATGTCTTGAAAGAAAGTAAAGAAGATTTGGTTTTCCTTTTTTAATAAAACATTCAGTTATTCACAAAATGAAGAACAGCAGTCCACCTGCTCCAAAGTTTCTTTTGTGATTTGTTGCTTTATTCATGTTATATGAATATATTTGAACCCACCCTTGATGAAGTTCGCTGTTATTTGGCCGGGGAAGGTTACAGTATGTGCTTATTAGCATTTTAATGCCAAACAAAGTTCTGATAAAGCATCAAATAGAGGCTTTGCTAATATATTTAGTATATCATAACGCATACAGGAACGTTCCACTAGAAGGAAATCCTAACCGATAGCAGATCATCTGTGAAAGGGTAAACGCCTCGCTCTGTTTTCTGTGGCGCTGAAAGTTGGGACCCAGCAGTCTGCACAGGTAGTGAACATCATCCGCAGAAAAGTGCAAATTCTCTTTATGATTCATGCAGGAAAAATTCAAATATGGGTTTTTCTATTCCACCCAACACAGCAATGGTTTATTTAAGCCCTTTCTGTCAAACTTTGAACAAGAGCCCTCTTAAAAAAATCAAACAGCATTAATGTCCATATATAGAATATAAAGTTAATAATGATATAAGCCTCCAGAATAATGTAAAACATGCAGATGAAGTGACAACATCACTGACGAATCTCATTGCTTTCATACTTAAAGCATTTATAAGATTCAGTCCTGGAAAGGGGAGATTTAAAATATAATAAATTATATTAGTTAGATAGCATGGCC